GTTATTGAATACTGCAATTGGTTGCTGAATTGGAGTGCCTAATGAAGTTTAATTTTCAGGAAGAACATATATGTAAATAATGATCAAGGTACAAAATTTATGGGATTAAGTCTCTGCTTTGTGCTAGTGAATGAAAATGCATTATGAATTTGAGTTACTTTCTATGGTTTATTTCATTGTTGCTATCACATGGCTCCTAGTTTCATAAGAAGTCGGTCGTTACATAATTCCACCATCCTTTAGTAAAGAGGGCTACATTTCTCAGCTTAGAGTATACCTAAACCACTATTCCTCAACAATGAAAGAATTTTCCCCTAAGATTTACGGAGAAGACTTAACCAACATATTAGCGATCTTGGATATACACAGAAGACTGCTTTTAAGTGTGATTTTCCCTATGGTGATTCAACCGTGAACCCCCTTCCATTTCTCGAATTTAAAGACATGTTGATTTGACTTTTTTCTCCTCCCATTTCCATGCTTTTCCTCCATTGGATAAGTGTTTTCTCGTCAAATGTAACTTGTTTCAGTCTATCTTCCTAGTTGCTAAATCCTACATCTCAGTAGATATATTCCCATTGTCAGTTTTGTTCCATGTAGCGAACTGGAACCTTTTGCCCTTGTTTAATGCTTGTTCGTATGATGTTTTTTCTTTTTAAATGTTGGTACCAACTTTTTTTCACAATGCTATGACAGGATCCTGAGTCTGCACTTTTCAAATTCTGTAGATAATTGCTCGAGCAAATGAGTTGGGGGAAGATCCGCTTGATTTAAGTAGACGTTACTGTGAAGAATTCTGTCAGGATATGAGGTATCTTCATTGCTTGTCTCCTTCAGTTGAACCCCGAGTTTCGGACCACATGTCCCAGATCATTGACATGATAAAGCAGGTAAATTTTTTGTTGATTGGTCGTCTTCATTTGATAGAAGCTATCAGGCAATCATATTATCTTGATTTTCGCCATAAAACCATCTTTTGTTTTAATAAGTATATATTGTTCACTTATTGACTTCTTTTATGCTCTGTGTGTGTCTTTCTTGTCTTACACTTGATTCTGGAAGGGGAGGGAGGTGTGTGTGTGTGACAAGCCATTAAGTGTTTCTCTTGTGTCTTGACAGATTCTTGATAATGGGTATGCCTATCGTGTCGGTGGTGATGTGTACTTTAATGTGGACAAATTTCCAGAATATGGCCTATTGTCTGGGCGAAAATTAGAGGATAATCGAGCTGGAGAGCGGGTTGCTGTGGACTCCAGGAAGAAAAACCCGGCTGATTTTGCTTTATGGAAGGTCAATCTGGTTGCTTTGTATTATTGTTAAGTGTTGCATGCATAGCATCAATCAATGAGATTCACTAAATGAAAGGGTTGGATAAATCTTAGGTACAGTTCAATTGCCTTGTCGGTGTAACCGAAAAAGATAAACACAAAACTTTAAAATTGTATGATAGTTCGTCTTACTTATCGTTCACAAATGTGTCCTGTTTAATACTATTGTTGAAGTCCTGTGATATCTTGCAGTCTGCAAAGGAGGGGGAACCATTTTGGGCAAGTCCCTGGGGTCCTGGGAGGCCTGGATGGCATATAGAGTGCAGTGCCATGAGTGCAGCTTATCTAGGGTATTCTTTTGATATACATGGTGGAGGGATGGATCTTGTCTTTCCCCACCATGAAAACGAAATAGCTCAGAGCTGTGCCGCTTGCAGAACGAGTAATATAAGCTACTGGGTCCATAATGGTTTTGTGACTATTGACTCGGAGAAGATGTCTAAATCTCTTGGGAACTTTTTCACCATTCGGCAGGTAGACCTCGAATTTTTTTTCATTTAGACTTACTCTTCTATCACGTATTTCGTAATCGAGTCCATAACATAACTATAAATTTCCAGGTCATAGATCTTTACCATCCACTGGCTTTGAGGCTTTTTTTGTTGGGGACACATTATCGTTCTCCAATCAACTACTCTGATTTACTGCTCGAAAGTGCTTCGGATCGCATTTTTTACATCTATCAGGTACTACAGCATACAGTTTTTCATGATGAGAAATTATAGTTGTACAGCCGTTGCCACTGCTATCATGACTAAGTAGACGCTTCCAAGAACAGGCGTAGCCAATGCACATAGATGCTCAGATGTCTTTTATCTTAGAAATCAATATCTTTTTAATTTCACTGAATTTTATGGTTGCAGACACTTGATGACTGTAGAACTGTTTTTAGCCAGCAAGATGAATCAAGTTTGAAGAGTTCCATCCCTCCGAGTTTGGTGGAAGAAATCAACAAATTCTACAACGTTTTCCTGACCTCGATGTCCGATGATATTCACACGCCTGTGGTTTTGGCAGCGTTATCGGATCCTTTGAAAATTATCAATGATTTTTTACATACTCGCAAGGTATTGGATATAAGTGTAGCTCAATTTAATCTGATAATGTCAATGGTTAGCTTTATGAGTATATAATATAGTACAGCTTCTCGTATAGAAAACATGCTTATCTTAGGCTTCAGCGAACCTGTGTTTCATTCAACATTATCTTTTGGTTGACGTTGTGGTATGTAATGGTCCAAGCCCACCGCCGGTAGATATTGTCATTTTTTGGTTTTCCCTTTCGAGCTTCCCCTCAAGATTTTTTTAAATGCGTGGGCTCTGCTAGGGAGAGGTTTCCACACCCCTATAAAAAAATGTTTCGTTCTCCTCTCTAACCGATGTGGGATCTGACAATCCACTTCCTTCGGGGCCTATCGTCCTCGTTGGCACTCGTTCCCTTCTCCAATCGTGGGACCCCCCAATCCATCCCCCTTCGAGACCCAGCGTCCTTGCTGGCACATTGCTCGATGTTGATATCATTTGTAACAGTCCAAACTCACCGCTAGCATATATTGTCCTTTTTAGACTTTCTCTTTTGGTTCTCTCAAAGTTTTTAGAACGTGTCTACTAGTGGGAGGTTTCTACATTGTTGTCATCTACGGAGATTCACTTATTTATTTTATTTATCTAAAAAAATTTCGAGCTTATATCTTAGTTTAAGACAACCTGAAAGCAAAATGGTTAATATACACTGATGATGCTGCCTGCGTTGACATATGTTTCTATTCTTTGTAACATGTGTAATTCAAATCCATGCAGGGAAAGAAGCAGGAATTTCGAATGGAATCTCTTGCAGCTCTGGAGAAGATGATAGGAAATGTGTTGTCCATCTTAGGGCTGATGCCTGCAAGTTACTCCGAGGTAGAAACCGATTGGTGTCACTGTAATTCATTGTTGTGAACTTCAATATATAGTTTAATCTCTTAGAACAAGCGGGTAGCGAGTGGCGGGTGGCGGGTGGAGATTTGAATCTCCGACCCCAAGCAAAAGAGTAGATCTCACCCTTCAGAAACTGATAACTTAACAGAAACTTTCTTGTCTTATCACTCTCTAGCTGGCTTTGGTACGTTTATTCGGAAACAAACTGAACAATTTTGTTGGCACAGGCTCTGCAACAGCTGAAGGAAAAGGCTTTAACGCGCGCAAAGATGACGAACGAACAAGTTGTACAGAAGATAGAAGAAAGGAATGCAGCAAGAAAGAATAAGGAGTATGAAAAATCTGATACAATCAGGACTGATCTAGCTGCTGTTGGAATTGCTCTAATGGATGGCCCTAATGGAACAACTTGGAGACCAACTGTTCCTCTTGCACTTCAAGACGACCACCAGCTTTAGTTTCACTAATTCTCTTAATTTAGTTCAAATTGAACCGAACCGGACTGATACGATGATGTTATTTTGTTCTTAAAAAAGCTCTTACCTTTTAGGTTGTGTACGACTCTCCAAAACTCGAGTGAGATGAGACACTATGCTAAGTTTCTTAGTGTAGTTGTCATTGTTCTCTCTTCCTTTGGTCGGAGGTTCAAATCTTATCTCTACAATAGGCTGTACTCATTTTTTTTAACAAAATTAAATATTTTCTCAAGTAAATATGGTAGAAAATATAGTTTCATCGGTGATTATAAATTTACTTCGGTCTAATAATGTCATTAATGAAAATATTGGCGGTTTGTCTAATCTAGAGATGCTAGACTATTTTATACCAGGCTCAAGTCAAAGAAATTGATACACATGACCCACTTGAATTCAATATATTCTTGACAAGTTCTATAATAATTTATTTAATTGATTGGTATGAGGTTTGCGACTTTAAATTGAACAACATTGAGGTAGAGATACCATGTAATTAACGTAACTAAAAAATGATCAAATTTAAATTTAAATTTGACGTCTATTTAGTTAGTGACTTCCATTTAGTTAGTGTTAATGCTCATTAATTTTCTTAAATGGTGTGCCACATCACACAAATCTAAATAAATTTTTTATATGCTCAAGTAAATCAAGTAAAACAAAACGCGTGGGATGACAAGATTTAAAATTTTTAGTTAAAATATATATTATAGACTAATTGAGCTATATTTAAATTGACAGTAAAATACACATCTAATTATAATATTTCGTCTAACAATTTCAATAGAAAATATAAATATCTTTTTTTAGTAAAAAAAAAATGTAAAAAGATTCGACTCATACCTCCATGACTCCCTCCCCTTAAATGGAAAATGTTGATCGTCTTAGGGCCAAGTAGCGGTCTCGCCCCGAATGACCATAGTATGTTGGAAATAAGGGAGAACATACTAGACGTGATCACTCCCTTGGTTGGGGGTTGTGTCGCCTTGCACACCCCTACTTAAAGAATGTTGCTTAATTACGAAGTGTGCAACCTTTCCTCGAGTTCGTAGAGTCGGATAAATCTCAAATCTTATATATATTATGATGTAATATAACCGACAACAGACTAATTCCTTGACAACACCGGTGATTCACTCCCAAAGTAAGTTTTCATGACTCTTGAAGTGGAAAGATATTAATCCATTCATTTTGTGCATCACAAAATAGAATCACTTCAAAGTGTTCTTATAAATAAGAACACATTTCCAGCTTCATTTCTCATCAAAACAAAACTTTTCCATATTGAAAAAGAAATGGCTGCCTCCATCAATGGTCAGCCAATGCCCTTCCTTTCACTTATGCTTCGGACAATGCCTTTCCTTTCAAGCCTTTTACCTCTCAAATTCCACTTATGCTTCGGTCAATGTCTTTCCTTTCAAGCCTTTTACCTCTCAAATTCCCTGTTCTTGAACTTCTCGAACTTCTCCTTCCACTTCTCAGACATATGAAATGAATTGATTAAGATATATTCTTTCGACGAAAGTTTAAATAAATCTAGCACATTGTCTTATTTCTGCCGAAGGATATAAGATATTGGAAGAAGTGAACGTCTTTTTTAGTCACAAGATCCAAAAAAAGAATGAAAAAAAAAAACGTTAAAAAATGTGAGTGAGGTAACTCCATTGACTCTACTGTCATTTTCTTGTTGACTTTTCTCCTTAATATAATAGGTCAGAAAATGGACATCTTCAATCTCTACCTATTGTCATTGAACTCGAGAATAAATAAAAAAAATAAAAATAAATAAAACTCTATGTTTAATGTATATTGAGTAGTTATAAATAATGGAAATTGGTTGAGTGTTCCTTTCACCATAAGAGATCTACTTACTATGTATATAAATATATATATATTTCTGTGTATTTATTCTTTTCCCTTTCCTCAGAAAATAATAACTTATTTCTTAAAAGCAGAGGAAGAAAAAAATAAATTCCCTGTAAATGGCTGTCAGCTTCTTCTCTCTCCTTCCCAAAGGTATAATAAAATGATTCTCTCTTACACAAATTTACATCTTTTTCAGCCAAAATCACAAATTTTAAAAAGCTTTTAAAATAATATTCTCAAGAAAAGAAAAGAAAAGAAAATTTTGATGGTTCTTTACGTCTCTACTCTTTTGCCTATCTTTTCTTCCTCTTGATTGAGTGATCCTTTAATCGAAAAAAATAAATAAATAAAGCATCCTAATCCAAATATATAAGGAATTGATTTGACAATAATTTTAATTTTAACTTTATTTCTACTTTTCAAATGCTCAAAAAAAAAAAAAGCATTAAAATGGCTTTTAAACACTTAAAAAGTCATCTTACAGCAGCTGAAGCAAACAGAAAACGCTTTAGAAAAAGGTTTTTTTGTTATCCAAACCAACAAAAGCTTCAAAAGTTGAAAAAGAAAGGTTATAGGGTTCACTAGTTTAATTAGTGGGAGGTAGCTTTTTCAAGGCTTTATGTCACCACCTATTAATACTAGCATCAACCCCCACACGTAGCCTTCCAGACTTGTATTTCAATAATGTATTTTAACACTTTTTATTTAATTTAAGTTACGATTACATAATGGTTTGTTACAACTCTTAGAATGTCTTTAATGGTTTCATTTTGAGGCTATATAAAGCCATGCCATATATGTTGTATTTTTAAGTAGACTTGGAAAATATGTGATTTTCTTTAGCCAATGGCTAAGTTTCTTTGCAATTTTATATAGTTTAGGTTGCATGTAGAATCATTCAAGCTTGATACGATCGATTTTGCTATTGGAGTTATCCGAATCTCAAACAAGTATTCTTGCCTTAAGATATTTGATCAACAAGAATCATTCAAGCTAGACATGATCAATCTTGTTTGTGGAGTGATTTGAATCTCAAACAATGTTCTTGCCTAAAAATATTAGATCAACAAGGTAATCCGAATCTTACTTCCCTGGTAGTGATTTTCACCTATCATTTTTCATTTTGACAAATTTTTATTGTGAATTAATTCATTTATTTAAATAATAATTACCCAAAAAGGAAGTTCAAAAATATTTAAGAAAACAAAACCCAAATTGTAGAATCAAGGGAGTTTGAAATGCTCTATCTATGGCAATGGCAATGGTAAATGGCAAAAAAGAAGGGAGAGTAACAGAATCAGCAATGAATGCCAAAATTGCACTCAGGTGGGTTAGTCATCAAACCCACCAGCTTAGCTTAGCCAAGTTGGGGGATCGATGTGTGTGGTTAATGGTGGCTTTCCAATCTATTATGTTGTTTCCCCCATCACCTTCACTTATGCATGGGATGGGACCCTTTCATTTAAGTTCAACCCTTTCTTCAACCAAGTTGCTTGTTCCTACTTGCTTACCCACGGTCTTTGCTTTCTCTTTTCTCCAACTTACTCCTTTTATGAGCTACGAGTCGAGGTTTAAGTCTTATTTTGGTCTTATTTTATGAGCTAAGTTGGTCGAGGTTGGGTAATGTAGAGGGCTGGCTAATCCTGATTCCAACTTTCAATAGGAAATATCATTAAGAACGGATTTTGTTCAAGTAACTCAACAATTGGTCTGAATCTACTGAGATGTTGGAGGATGGTCTATTGGGTATTACAAAGAGTGTGGGAGACAGAGGGAAAGGAAAAAGAGTAGAGCCATGCATGCAAGAGATAAAGAGAATGTGGGTCTTACATGTTAAAAGAGAGAGAGAGGGAGGGAGAAAGATTTGGTTGTTGCATGTGAGGAAGAGAGAAAAGAAGGATGGACATGATTGGTGCATGTTACAAAGGAAAGAAAGAGCACTGAAAACTAATGGAAGAGAGAGAGGAAAGTGTGGGAGAGAGAATCAGCCCACCACTAGTAGATATTATCTGCTTTAGTTCGTTACATATTGTCGTCATTCTCACAGTTTTTAAAATGCATCTAATCTACTAGGAAGAGGTTTTCACGTGCTTATAAGAAATGTTTTGTTCCCCTATCCAATCGAATGGGATCTCACAACAACAAAAAGTTGAAGGATAGTAAAAGAAGAGAGAGATTAGATGTGACATATTCTCTAACTAAACAAGGGGTTAGTTTTCGTTATTCGGGTCCGGTCATGGATTTGGACGGTTTCAATCTTTTAACAAGACTCACCTACTTCTTATAACCATACTCCTTAAAGTTACAAAATTGTAGCAATTAACTCGAACTATTTAGTGAACTAGAATTTAAATCTTGATGGCTCGGGGATAATTACGGGAAGTTTACAGATGCAATTACAACAAATTAGAAGATTTTACTAAGAAACTAAATGCTCAAAGAGAACTTAAATGCAGAATCAATGAGATGCAAAAAAAAAAAAGAAAAAAAAAGTAGCAAAAAAATCCCATCACGATTTGCATCTTCCTATTTTTGTTCTCAACTACATAGTGTTCAAAAACAGTCAACCCAAATGAAACATTATGTTGACAGCACATCACACTAAAGACTTGCGTGAGAGTCTTGAATTAATTTTCTTTTTCTTCTAGACCATTATTAGTTTAATAATTATTGCCATAATAAACCAATGAGCAAAGCCGTTCAAAATACAGATATGAAGACAGACACTAGCAAACCATAATTTCCAAGAACAAGAAATCATAAAATCAGAGAATTTGGTTTCTAAACTCACTTACCTCAAAAGCATTCCCTTCTGCTATGATCAACCTCTCCGCCATGATTGCAGCAATCCTCATCCTATTCCTAAGTTTCATCAATGAAGGTAACAGTATTTGATTAAAAAACAAAGTCAAAATCAAGAAATCTCTACCTTTAGAGCTTTCTTTCTCTCCCCTTTCTGGGTTTGAGTTGGTGGATTTTGTTGCAGGGTTTGGTGCTGCAAGCTGCAGTTTGGACACCATTAACATAGGAACACAGAGAAGTGGAAGGGTGATTGGGGGCCAACCTGAATGGAACGTGCAAGTGATTAACAACTGCGATTGTCCTCAGAAGCAGATCGTCTTGTCCTGCCCAGGGTTTCAGACTGTTGAACCTGTTGATCCATCGATTGTGTCAAAGCAAGGGGACGCTTGCCGGCTCATAAATGGAGGAATTGTTCAGCCTGGTTCTTCAGTTCAATTTTCCTATGCTTGGGATCCCCCTTTCATCTTGTTCCCTCGTTTCTCTGTTTCTCAGTGTCATACCTGAAGCAACAACAAACAATATTAAAAAGTTGTCAATTTAGTCTGAGTTAATCGTAAAGTTGAGGAGAAATTTGAAGATAATCGTTCTTTTTTGAGTTTGAAAAGGATTATAAATCTTGAGTTTGATTGCTTCGCCTGATTGATATCATAAAGATGGGATCAAACAGCTTCTAATTATTTGGTACAAGGCAGAAATTTTACATATATTGCTAACCCTGCTTGAATTTGACAATAGAATCTTCCTTTTTGAAAGATTGATAGATATGAGCAGCTTGTTTAGCTTGCACAGTATGATTTCCCATTCAGGGTCTGTGCCTGTTGGAAAGATGGAGTGTTGTGGGCACAGATAAAACAAGCAATTGCATAATTCGAGCATTATCATCTTAAGCTTCACACTCATTTTTGGCTCACATGAACATGAACATGAACATGAACATGAACAATTTGTTTTTCCGTTAAGCTTAGTTAATGGGGAACTACAAAACAGAACAAGATTGGTTTCGTGATCCTAATGAAAGCAAGACACATACACAATCATAAATGTAAATCTTGCGCAACTAACCCTTTTGTGACCGCATAAGCCCACCGCTAGCAAATATTGTCCGCTTTGGCTTGTTCGTGCTTCGTTCTCTTCTCCAACCAACGTGGGATCTCACAATCCACTCCCTTGGAGGCACACCGCCGGGTGTCTAGCTCTAATACCAACTTGTAACATCCGCTCATCGACCGCTTGATTCACATAATGTTTTGTTTTATGACTAGTTTTCGAAGCAAAATATCTATGTCAATGGTAACTCCTGTGAATCGAGCTATCGATGAGCAGGTTTTACAAGTTTAAACTTGTCAATTGACATGTAGAATGGGCAGTGCACCAATTCCTTTAGGAGCAGTTTCAATCTGTAAACCCAAACTATATGTTAGACTTAAACAGTAAGTAAAGAGAGAAAAAAACTTTGGAAGTAGATTGTAATCTTGAATCTAGATTTAGAAATCAGCAGGAAACGACTACATACAGAACTTTCAATCTCCATCCATGGTGTACGGATGGTTGCATATAAAGAGGAAGATTTCAATTAGCTTAAGCTAAAATGGATAACAAAAACACAAAAGGAAGCAAACGGAATCGCCATAAAGAATCTCCAGAGGCCAAAATCAAAACAGTAACTCGGTTATCAAAACAGAACGCATTCCAAAATGTACCAAATCAAAGAGCCAAGAGAATCCAAATAAAGCTTCACAGCGGGAAATTCAAAAACACAGTGAATAAGCTGAAGAAGAACCATTCGAACTACATTAAGTTAAAACAACAGTGACCACACCATTAATAAGAAAAATACAACGAATGCTGGAGAATCAACGGCCGTCTGAATCGACTCACCATTAATAAGTAGTACGGCGGAGATTTTGCGATGCAGCGTCGCCGGAGAAGTGACGGAAGAATCGATCATCTATACATTCAACAGAAGATTATGCCATTTGAACTCCAAAAATGCAAAATAGTTCCGATCAGACTCTACAGTTACAGAGTGAGAGTAAAAATTCGTAGTCATTTTTGCTCCATGTTCCGATGTGTTCGTCGTTTTTTTTTTTTTCCTCCAGAAGTGACAGATTCTATCCGTCGGTAATTCTGAAAATTCCTGAAAAAGGGAAAAACAATGATCCTACGTCTTGGGCCGAACCTGAAAACTTTGTGCTGATGGGCTCGAAATTAGGCCCATTTAACGGATACACGTGTAATTATCAGAATAAAAAAAAGTCAAAATATAATATAACTCGAAAAATCACTAAAATCTAATATATTTTTACAAATATAGTTAAACCCAAGTTTTTAACAGAATCTTGTAATTTTATTATGACGAAAATGCCCTCGGGTGAATATATATTATAAATTATTCAAAATAAATATTTTAAATATTTATTTTGAATAATTTATAATATATATTCACCCAAGGGTATTTTCGTCCTAATAAAATTAAAATCCATCAGTTAGAACTTAAAGTGAATGATAAGTGGGGGTCGAGATTGGAGGTGGCCCCAAATTTTGAGCTAAAAATGCCACCTTCTCCGACCGCCCTTTTCGCCTCTCTTTCATCGTTCCTTCGCCTATAACAAACACCGTCCACGGTAGTGATATAATGACGTCGGAGCTACCTTCGTGAATTTACTACTATTTATTCCACTTGATTATTATTATAATTAATCTGAAAAATTAATCAACTTAGGACATGATTAAACTAATTATTAAATTTTTTTTGTGTGTAGCTAAAATACTGCATTGTAAATATTTTAAATCGCAATAAACATAAATATTTGTAAGGCCCAATTATAATTGGGCCTCGATGGGAACATTAATTGGGTCAACAAATTAGATCCGTACCCGACAAAAGGCCCATTAGTAAACCTTTTAATGGGCCTCGCTTTGTTGCCAATGGGGCCCACAAACACGATACATGTGTGGGGTCCACCAACCGAAAAGTCAAAGACAAAAGTTTGAAAATCAAAGACTATAGATGTCCCATTAAAAGAACTATGAAACAGTATTTATTTAAAATTTAATTGTCTATAATTAATGGAATTTAATTTATTTTAATTTTGTATTGAAATTTCTAGTTCTTATTTTAAGAAAATAAAAATCAATTTGTTGACCAATGGACGGGTTGAAAATTAAAATTATGAGTTTAGACGGTTACATAAGTATTAAGTATTAATGGAAAATTCAATGGCTGGAGTACATTGGGCCCAGGTTAATTATGTTTAACATTTTTTAAATAAGATATAAATTCGATAGTAAAATAATTAATGCTTTTACATATTTTTAATTCTCTTAGGTCCCTAAGGTAATATTTTAATTCTTATACTTTAAAATTGAGAGAATTCCAACATGATAAAGTACTCGTTTTTATTTTAGGGGTGGTTGATTGAATTCTTCGCTCCTCATTATTAAACTAAAAAATTTTTGCATAATAATAAATATTATTTTTTATTTTTTTGTAAAAGTCCAAATTATAAAGGTTTGAAAATGTGTCTATTATAAAGAGGTTTCTACACTATAAATGTTTTGTTTTTTTCTCAAACTGATATGGGATCTCATAATAGATGTGTTTTAAAATTATGAGACTGACGACAATACGTAATGGGTCAAAGCGAAAAATATTTACTAGCAGTGAGACTTGAGCTGTTACAAATGGTATTAGAGCCAGACATTTGTTGGAGTAGAGCTATACCCTCTCCATAGTGGATGGGGTTTAAAAACTTTGAGGGGAAGCTCATAAGGAAAAGCCAAAAATAAGATAATATCTGCTAGCGATGGCTTGGGCTGCCACAAATGATATCAAAGCAAGATATCAGACAGTGTACCAACGAAGACGTTTTGTCCCAAATGGGGTTGATTATGAGATCCCACATCGGTTGGAGAGGGAAACGAAACATTGAACGAATGCCCAAAAAAGACAGTATTAAATGATATAGACGTGTCAAAATGAATTGGTTCGGTATGAGGTGCAAAGGTTAGAGTGGCTCCGTCCTTTTGGATAAGCCAATTGGGGTATGACACCATTTTGCTTCCCAATCACCCTACCACTCTTTTAATGTCTCCAACTTCCATCCCATGTGATTTGTTCTATAATCATTTTCATCCCCCTCCCCTATCCACTTTTCTCCCAATCTTTCCCTATAACATGAATCAATACTATATATTTATACTTTACACCTTAATCAATCATATATATTTTAATTTAAATTTAAATTTCTTATGCGTATTTTCAATAATTTTTTTTATTTAAATTATAAATAAGTATAATATATATAGGGGTAGCCTTTGGGGAAATCAAAGGCCAATATTAATTTTATTTACAAATATAAATATTTTTGTGTCTTGAGACTTCGAATATACACATAATTGCAATTAAAATAATGTAATGTTTGTATTGACAATATGAATGTCAATATATTGTAAAATAATATGCTGTTTAATTAAGTTGTTAATTTTAAGTACGGGCCCGCTTTATTTATTTATTTTTTTTAATTTATAAAAAAAGCCTTGATTTACTTCTTTACATTTTATATTATACTTTTATTTAATTTATATAGTTCCTGACATTGACAAAATGTTAATACGATGCATATTTTTATTTATTTTAAAATAATTCAATAAAAAAATCAAAGTTGATGATCGAGACGTCAGTATGTCTTAATATGTCTTAATATCACTGTTCGCTTTAACCCTAAAATAATATAGATTTGTATTTAGTCTTACTTTGAAAAGTTAATAATTCATTTTGATTCTAATAATTTTGTAAAATTAAAATTTTATAAAATAATTTGTAGTTATTTATTTTTTTTAGTTTAGTTAACATAAACCCAAGTCAAAAGGAATTAAATAAAAAATATATAAATTATAGAGCTTAAATTGGTTAATTTATACCATTTTAATTAATATAATTTAAGAATATAAATTATTCTCAATAAAAATTAAAAAATGAAGAGTTATTGAAAACATATAATAAAATTAGACAGCTGTCAATCCACCATCTTTAATTAATTACGGATTTCCCGCCTCTCTGGGATTTGTCGACTTTTTCTTCCTTCAAATCCCGCTTCTGCATTCTTACCTTTATTTCCCCTTTTACGAACTTCCGATATGTCGTACGAAATGTTGTAGCCGGCAAATAGCGACCAACGACTCAATCATCGTCAACAATTGCAGCTGAGCCGACGGATCGTTTCAAGTTTACCGCGTTTTTCAACGAATTTCAAAGTCTTTTTACCAAACCTCCCTCTACCAAAAGCTTCTAGATTCTTTTATTAGAAGTAATTTCAAACTTCTAGATTAAAAGTAAAAACACGGTAACTTTTTTTTTACTGTGAGTATATTAAGGATTGTCTGCTCTGCTATGTACAGTTATAGCTTCAGATTTTAAAATGTATCTACTATAGAGAAGTTTTCACACCGTTATAAATAATGTTTCATTATCGTTTACAACCGATGTGAGATCATTGTCTATTATTGCGTCTCTTTTTTGTATATTAAATCAAAATGCAGTATCTCATATTTAGCTATTATTGAAACCGTGTTAAATTTTAAAGGTTATTTGGC